GTGTGTGTGTGTGTGTGTGTGTGTGTGTGTGTGTGTGTGTGTGTGTGTGTGTGTGTGTGTGTGTGTGTCCGTACGTATATGTGTATGCACGTGTGTATGTTCGTGTGTCCGTACGTATATGTGTATGCACGTGTGTATGTGCGTGTGTCCGTACGTATATGTGTATGCACGTGTGTGCGTGCGTGTGTCCGTACGTATATGTGTATGCACGTGTGTATGTGCGTGTGTCCGTACGTATATGTGTATGCACGTGTGTATGTGTGTGTGTGTCCGTACGTATATGTGTATGCACGTGTGTATGTGCGTGTGTCCGTACGTATATGTGTATGCACGTGTGCGTGTGTCCGTACGTATATGTGTATGCACGTGTGTATGTGTGTGTGTCCGTACGTATATGTGTATGCACGTGTGTATGTGTGTGTGTGTCCGTACGTATATGTGCATGCACGTGTGTATGTGCGTGTGTCCGTACGTATATGTGTATGCACGTGTGTATGTGTGTGTGTGTCCGTACGTATATGTGCATGCGCGTGTGTGCGTGTGTCCGTACGTATATGTGTATGCACGTGTGTATGTGCGTGTGTCCGTACGTATATGTGTATGCACGTGTGTATATGTGCGTGTGTCCGTACGTATATGTGTATGCGCGTGTGTGCGTGTGTCCGTACGTATATGTGTATGCGCGTGTGTATGTGTGTGTGTCCGTGCGTATATGTGCATGCACGTGTGTGCGTGTGTCCGTACGTATGTGTGTATGAACGTGTGCGCGTGTGCGCGCGCCCCAGGCTTGTGAACCGGCCGTACATGTATGTGTGTGACTGCGTGTTTACGTGCCTATATTATATACTGTGTGACTGTAAGTTGTAACCCCTCGCTGACGTATGATGCTGGGCTAGAGCTGCATGCATGTCCTTCTCACACACTCACACAACTCACGAATGGTACCGTATGTGTGTGTCTGTAGCACCGGGCAGTGACGGCACAGTGCTGACGCTATCTGTATACTCATGTACAGAAGATCGCGCTCTCTCTCTCTTTCTTTCTTACTTTCTCTCTCTCTATATCTCTCTCTCTCTCTCTCGCTCGCTCTCTCTCCTTCTCTCTCTCTCTGTCTCTCTCTCTCTCTCTTTCTTTCTTACTTTCTCTCTCTCTATATCTCTCTCTCTCTCTCTCGCTCGCTCTCTCTCCTTCTCTCTCTCTCTGTCTCTCTCT